CCCTCTTCAATGCCGGCATCGGTACGCTGCACCAAATGAGCGCTTTTCGCAGCCGGTGTCGTTACTCGCCGCTGATTGGTCAGGTGCGCGCCGGCGGTATCCTCCTCCAGGGAGTCTGGTTTTGGCACGTTGGCGCCATCTTGCGGTCGCCTGATCGCTGGGCAGAACAAGAACACGATAACATCATGCATCTGTCGATCGCCTTCGTGTGGGACGCTTTCGTAATAATCTTCATCTACATTCCTATTACGGCGCTTGTTGGCTGGTTAAGCCGAGGACGGTACGGGGAATCTGCAGACGTGAAACAGGCCGGGAAGCTGAGTTTACAAGATGCGAGAACGTATCAGCCTTTACAGAACTCGGCGGAAACTTCCCTGACACCGAAAGCCACTGAGTCAATTTAATCTCGTTCGAAATACCAGCCTCTAATGGATTCTCTTGGAATTCTTTTGTTTTGTTTCTTTTATCGAGTCATCTAACACACTCTTGGGCTGTCGAGCCTTCAAATTTTGTCTCTGGATGAGTTTATTTTTACGAGTTGAGGCGAATGTTCGTACCCCAGCATTGTGCGTATAGGTAAAGAAGAAGAAGAGGGCATGTCGATCAACGGAATTATGGTTTTATTCGACCGAGCTTTCGAAGTCTTACCGGAGTCCATATTCAGAGATAAAATCGTCAGCGAAAAAGCAAGAAGCAGTTATAGGGAGCAAGAGCCAATCAACTACCAGTGAGGTCTGTCCGGAGGTGACTGCGCAGGGCTCTGTATGCCGGCGCGAGATCGATACATCGACCTTTTAAGTTCCCATCTGAGGCCCAGGCTTCAATCAATTCTCGGTGTGAGCAATTATCTTCGCGGCTGCGAAGTTAAACTGGCGACATGTCTCATAAGTGTGAGCAGCCACTTGCGATAATGTGTCGCCCCATCTTACTCAGTTTATGCTCGTGTAGGCGCTGATCAAGTATACGTCCAATCTGTCCTATGTAATTTTGAGGATAGTTTAGACACGGTATGCGATATAATACGCCCGACTGCTCACTAGGATTTAAGAGGTTCTTGATTTTATGACTCGGCGGTAATACTTTATTGTGTCCATCACCCACCTCCCTCCCGGTAGTGGTTCACCAATTGTTATTTGAAACAGAAGACAGATGTGAAAAAGCCCTAGGTGTGCACAGGAACTTCTGTCCAAATGTGTTATTTTAGGATCACAGAGTTGTTCACTTGTCGTACTCCCATTGGTTAGCCTCTGAGCGCGTTGCCGGCGCCCCAACCTTTCGCAGAACCCAGCCGCATGTCGTTTGCTAACTTGCGTGCGCACTTAATTAGCGAGGCTGCGTTAGGGTAGATTTCTATAGTAATCAAAGGAGAGTAATGTGGAATGTACTTCTTTTGCTTGTAGTGATAACAAATAAAAATAAAAATGTAGTCTAATAGGAACCAGTCGTTACAACACTTGAAAATCAAGTTACCTGATACTATTTACATAGAAGATGCACAGGTACCTAGATACAGGAGACTGATAAGTTTTCTTTTCACCAGTTTCAACATCAGATTCTTGTTCGAAAATGTGATATGTTTGATAAAATATATATACAAGCGATAGGAAAAGCTTTCATTTTACCTCCGGTGCTTTGAAATAGACCTCTGGCGTTTTGACATACTTGGGAGATACCTGTAATCTATCTTTACCGATTAATTAATTAGGACTCCCATATCAATTATTATGCCGCACAATCCCCAGACGTTTCGGTCACGCCAGGAAGACAGCTCTTAAATAAACTTGATTCTGGCTGCCTCTCTAAAAAACAACTTAAGTAGCATGGATATCTTCTATTGATTGTAGATGCCCTTGTAAATTCAAATATATTCTATGTAATACCTACCCAAAATGTCCTTTTTATAGCAATTTACGCCTTATTCTAATTGCGTACTTCAAGAAAAGGTCGTGTTTAGGTTGAAATAAGTCTCTAATCAAGATATTTTGAATATCGTGAAATACGCACTCATGAATCAGAGTATGTATCCATGTTATATTTTTATTTGTAAAATATACAGGATAACAGCCTCATTGCAACGTTTCTTGCGAGCTTGAGGACGATTTCCCAAGAGGAAGGGCTGATTTTCTTTATACATGGTGCATACAGTTTGCCCTTGGAAACCATGGATGGAAACGTAACGGCGGATCAAGTTTAAATTTATAAGGGAAGTAAACGTTTTTTCAATTAAAAGATGTCCTTTTCAAATATATAATTTAGTGAGGAAGTAAGTTGCTAACGAATACGTACAAGAAAAAATACTCATGTAAATTTTGCCTATAACATTTACTGGAGTTTATAAGCGTATCAAAAATAAATGAGGAAAATTCATACAACTACTGCAGTAATCATTTTAACCGACGGGAGATCTTCCAGCGGTCGGAAAACAGTTCTATCGCGTTGTGCTAACGCTACGAAGGCTTAACCCTAACAGCTGCGATCTTCCAGGCCCGGTTTTTTTGGAGATGAGAGAAGTCTTGGGAAAGCCAGAGTGTTAGGAACAATACATTGTGCACAGAAGAGTAAAGAGGATGTTGCCACTCGGCCTGGCATGGCGTTCAACCGTGAGGGCCAT